TGGTTGTCTCCCGGTCCCAGAGACTGTCTGCACCTATGATGCCCCTCATCTTCACGGGGAGCCATAGCTAGTGAAGTTCTCATTTCACATCTCTCTAACCTCTCTGCCTCTCTCTGCACTGGGAAGCAACCTAATGATTACACTGGGCCTGTCTGGATGACCCAGGGTAACCTCACCTTTTTCAGGTCAGCTGATTGGAAACCTTAATTCCATGTGTGACCTTTCATCCCCCTTTGAAATGTACCCTAACCTATCCACGGGTTCTGGAAATTAGGACACAGACCTTTTTGCGGGGTGGCGGGGAACTAGTCTACCAGCTACCTGCCTGAATGACAAAGTGTGTCTACAGTTTTACCCTTTGCTGCTGAGCAAACTCAGTTTCAAAGGAGTTTAAATAGCTTTCCCAAGGTTTCTGGGTCAATGACATTTTTCTGAGCAAAGTGAGATACTTGCATAAATTATTTTCCCCAATACTATCATCTCCCTCAAAACTTCAATTTTGTTCTGAGTGTGTTCTAGCTTTTGCTCTTTTTACTTTTGAGAAATCTCCTGCTATTTAAAGGATCGAATGTTTTGTGCCTTTTCTGTTTCAAGAGTATCTAGTGAGAAAAATGATTTAAAAGGGATCAAGTAAGTGACTCACCTAAAGTAACATAAAAGATAATATATATATAAATTCTAGTCTTTTAGACAAAACCCCTTTTGTTTTTAAAGACCCACAGGCTTAATTAGTGTTAAGGAAAACTCAGAGGTAATGATCAAGGTATTAAATTTCAATGCAGTTGAAAATACAATATTTTTGGCAACTGATACAGCATCCTTCCCAGATAGGTATATGTGATTATGACCATTTCAAAGAGTAGTAAATTGAGGCTTAGAGGAGCCAAATGCTTGCCATGTAGCCGAGCTTTGACCTTGGGTGTCCCCAAGTCTATTTGGCTCTCTAGATTCAAATTTTTCCATGACGCCATGGCCTAATTCCTCTGCACAAGGGTATCTTTCGCCATCTCCAAGGAATTTGGTTTGCAAAACATTCCATCTGCCTGACCTTCTCATTTTGAGGAGGCCTTGATCTTAACTCTGATTTTAATTCTGAGACAATGAAAATTCAGTTATTTGCTCTGTGCAGTGATTTAGCAATAGGACTGGACTCAAAGTAGAATTTCCAATTTCCAGGAATAAGATGAATGTTATCCTCCTTACACAACTTCTAGCAAGTGCAAGACTTCTTTCAAAGTAGAATGATAGTGAAAAAACTTCAAGGCTAACATAAACTACTTAAATAAGGAATACTTTGCTTGGCACGAGACATGCCAAGAGCCAAGTGTGTATAACTGCTGGCAGTCTCAGAGTGTAGAGTCTCTTTGCTGTTTTTCCAGAACCAACATTGCTACACAGAGCAATTGTGGAATCCTTCCTCTGTTGCCTAATTTTGAATACGAGGTACTCTTAGCCAAAACATGTCTTTGCCTCCTTCTCCAGTTGTCAAATCCCATCCATACTCAAAATATGCAACTTACATGTTACTTCCTCCAGAATGTCTTTGACATGCTTGAAAACAAAATTCCCCTGAATTCTCAATTATTTTCTTCTATCTCTTGGCACATCATACATTCAGCTACATTTATTTGTGTGAATTTTTAATGTCTGTAGTATATGAAAAGACCAGTGGTTTTCATTTTCTAGTGGGTCCAGTAGAAGATAATCTTCCGATAGGCCCTTGAACGTGTGATACTGTACATACACATAAAAGGTGCTCGATGTTTATCGATGAATAAGTGAATGGCTGTAGTGGACAAGTACAGTGCCAAGGCAAAAATATTACTTTATCTTGTTTTCTTTTTAGCCACTTTTTATATTTGTTTCTATATAGTACCTTGAACATAGATGTTTACTGATATGATTGTTTAAAATAGTGTTCTTTGAAAAATAACAAATGTTTATGTAAAGTAATAAAAGTAATTGGAAAATATATTTTTTTCATTAATTTTTCTTAACAAATCTATGTTTTGGGTATGTTTATCTACCAATGAGTTGATCTAAAACGCATTTTATATAGAGAGCTTTGATGGTAAATTTATGTAGATTTTGGACCTCAACATTCTTTGGTTTGATCCCTGGCCTTGTCATTTACTGTGTGAATTTGGGCAAACCAGCTAACCCCTGTGATATGCAGATTCACCATCTGTAAAATCAGGGGTACTAACATTAACTCACAGGTTAGTTATGTTAAACAGAAACTTTATACAAACATCCTAGATATGTGCCTCACTCAAAATAAAAATAAGCGTTATTTCTTCGGTTATTAATAATTTTTAGTTTTTCTAAACATTAAATATAACTAAAATGTATACTGTCTTAATTTTGGTCACAAAAAATTAAAGTTGACACATTAAAAATTTAATATGCACATGGTAATACACACTGAGATGTTCTGCAAAGCATTCGAGAAGTATCTAGTATTACTGTGTTTAGACATCTGTTTCTTCTCCTCTCTCTTCTAGGAACGGTGTCTTTCTTCTTTTGGAAAACTCCTTTTTCTCTGACTCTGTAGCAGATCTACAACCTCCTCCTTTCCTCATGCCCTACCCATAGGGGTAGTCATGTTTCTTAAACGAGCCAATGAGGTTTCCTCTAGGATTTGACAGACTGCAGTTAGAACCAGTCCTTCCCCTGGAAAGGAAGCAGAGCATCTTTGAGCCTGGGTGCAGTTGACCACTGTGGCTTTCTTCTGGAAAAAGTCAAGCCAACACATGGAAAGAAGGCCAAATTATTCACACATGCCCACGTTTGGTAGTGCGGCTCAACAAAATCCTCAGTTCTGGCTCAACCAGAAAAAGTTTGATTTTCACATTTGCAACCAAAGTCAAATATACGTATAAGCAGTGAGTCACCTGGGATTAGCTGTATCCTGCTGCCCCCTCCCTGCTCAACCTCTAAATGATTTTAGCCTCTGACACCCAGGTAAATCATGGTGCTTACCAGGTGGGACATTTAGGTCTGATCGCTGTATAATATACTGGTTTCTGTTTCACAGTATTAGGCTGTATCCTTAACCTTAGTCAGGGTTGGGCAAATGTTAGGGTTTCCTAGGGAGGGAGACCAGCTGGGAGAGGGTGGCCGGATCAGCCAACCCTTTAGCATTTTCGGGAAGGAGAAAACCCCTCTAGAGTACGTGCTTTGTTCTCACAGAACCACTGAGCACCGTCAGCAGAAGGTCCACCAGATTCCCCTGCTCTGTGTCAAGCCGTGTGTTTCAAAGCCACCTCATAGAACAGAAGAGAGCTGCTGGCCAAGCTCCACTAACTGGGTTCCTTAGGACACCAAGCTGAACAGCTTCTTAAATAAGTGAACACATCTTAAACTCAATGGAATTATGTTTCAACTTTTTGGGTCAACTCCCCTCTCGTTCCCCCCCTTCCATTTTTTTCTCTCTTATAACTTCCTTTCTTCTAAATAATATTTCTTAAGATGACTTTTACAATGTAATGTTTCAGCTTACAGAAACACTTAAAATGAAGGGAAAAAAGGAAATAAAAATCACCTACATACCACCACTCAGAGATATTCCCTATTAATTTCTGGCATATATTTTTCCAACTCTTTTTCTATGCAACAATATTTTAACATAGTTGAAATCATAATGCTTTTCCAACATTGCATTCTTTCCATAGTCTTTCCGAACAAATGTGAATGTTTTCTGCTATTTCATTTTTTTATCTCTATTTCTTTGATATTATAGATAAATCTGCAATTATCATTACTTATTTGATGCTGTATTTTTGGGGACAGTGCATTAATAGCATATGTGTTGAGAGGTTTGCACCAAGGTAATGATATTCCAGGTATTTGACCCTATTTGTGTCTTCCTGGATCTAGAGGAACCGTTTAGGATGCATTATAATTTGAGATGATCAGATCAGAGGTGACACTAAGTACCTTTAAGAGAAACATCTGTAACAAAAATAAATTAATTAAAAGAAAAAGTAGAATCAAATGTTATATGGTTTATACTTGAAAAAATTATTGTTAGTTTCTGGGTAGAAAGACAATCCAGAAATATAAAAATGAGTCACAGTGGCTAGACTTCCTACTCTTTCTTCACTACCCAAGCTGAGAGCCCTGCCCAGGCTGAGTTTCCTGCAGAGCCAATGCTCATTTTCCTGCCAGGCTGCCCTTGCGCAGCCTGGAGGCTCTGCTTTCTCAAACAGAAAATAGAAGCACAGCAGTTTGGCTATGAATTTGGAAATGACAGGAGTGTTTCTCTCTGTTTCAGAGGAAAAGCAAAATACAAAATACAAAGGTGTTGACATTAAGACAACATCATTAGAGGTTAGAATGCAATAAACATGTGCCACTTGGACACCAGTCACAGGAGGTGCCTCTCTTCACCTGACCAACCTAAAGTCAAGTTCTTCAGTCCAGGCATGGTGCACAGAGACACTGGCTTCTCCTAAGTCACCTGATCATGCCTGTGACTCTCTATAGCATTTGCAACCTTGCCACTGAACTTTTGGAAAGAAATCAGGTCCGAAAACTCTGGAATCTTTGGGAGAAGAAAATACTGGTAGAATAGTTATTATTATTCCATTTGAAAAGATTTAATTTGAAGCTAGCAATTCTCGTAAGATTACATAGATAAAAGCTCCATTTGGCCTTAACAGTTCTCAAGACATGATTTTGTGGAGGTTTACACGGGGCAGGGCAGACCAGGGTAGACTAGGCCTAAAAGCAATAGTATGAAAAATGTTTGTTTTTAATTATGTATTTTTGAGATTGGAACCTGATAAAACTTTCTGACTTTCCATCTTTGATAGGGCGCAGTCTTATTTCCAAAGTCTCTTCTACTTTGAGAACTCCATCTGTGACAATAAGAATGATTATGGCTTTTGAGAAAACTGTTAACAGCACAGACCCTAATTCAATAAAACTTTGATTCTTTTCTTTGGATTATAATGTGGTCTCGCTAGATTCAGACATTTATGTAGGAATTTTGAAGTTATTTCACCCAATGGTTCTTAAGTGGGGGACAGATTATTGGTAAGACAGTATAGAATGCATTCTCCTTCTCTTGCTGGGAAATGCTGAGAATCTAATTCTCTCTCTCTTTTTCAGGTAGAAAAAAGCAAAGGCACAAGAAAACAGATCTAATTAATGCCCATGGTTACCTTGTCATTTGTGACAGACTATGACTAGAACAAGAAAGAAATCCACGTGGGCATTGTAGTGTGGAGGCAGACCCCTTACTGTTGTTCCTGAGAACTTCCTGTCCTCATCCCTGAACCACATAGGCCACCAGCCCTGAGTGTCTCAGCTGTTAGACTCTTTCTTTGACCAAGAGTGAGCCATGATAAATTGGATTTACATGTGAGGTGATAGATGGGTCTTAGCTGATGGAACAACTCGAGATGATTGGAAGAGGCTGAGACCACAGGTCTCCAAACAACTCAGCAACAGTGCCGTGTACAGGTATTGATGTCCTTTCTACGTGTAGCTGATGGGGAGGGATTGGTCTTCTGAATTTGGTCTGTCCCCTGGCCTCAGAATCTGATATTTCTGGAGAGAGGAGATCCAGGGAATGGAGAGGTTTTCTTTTCCCCAAAAAATTCATTCAAATCCCTTTGTAAAGACAGAGGCTACGTTTTTAAGGGCTAGTGGTGGCAAGCCTAGTGTCTTTTTATTATTTGTACTAATCACTCTTGATTTCCGGTTCTTCAGCTGCTGCTCTAACAGGGTAGAAATAAATGATTCCAAGATAGCTGTCCTCTTCAGAGCTGGATGCTCCTATCGCTCCAACTACTAATATTATTTACAAATGTTTTCAGCTTAAGAAAATATTCACATAAGTATATTTTCAATTATCCACAATAATGGTGGTAGTGATAAAAGAGAAAAGAATCTCCACCGTTAGTTTGAAACTATATGTTCAATAGTCATAAGAACTTTAGGAAGGACTTATGGAAATGAGTCCATTAAAATCTCAGGTAAAAAGGGATGGTAATATGCAAGCATGTTCAAAACAGTTGAACTGGAACCTTCTCAGGTGCCTATCAACAATGGAATGGATGAATTTAGTATAGTCACACACTAGAATGTCATTCAGCAATGAGAATGAAGGATCCCCAATCAAATGCAAAAATATAGCTGAATCTCACAAATATAATGCTGAATGAGAGAAGCCAGACACAAAGATGATTGATTCTATTTACATAGAAGGCGAAAACAGGCAAAACTAATGTGTGATTTTAGAAATCAGGGTGGTAGTTGCCCTTGGCGGAGTGACATGTTGGTTGGGAGAAGGAGTTTCTCAGTAGCTGACACTATGTCATTTCTTACAGGCACTGGTTACAGGCCAGTGTTCAGTTGGAGAAAGTTCATTGAGTTGTACATGTAAGCTTTATGAAATGTTTGTGTATATGTTGTAGTTCGATAACAGTTTTAAAAAAGGTAAATGGGCATTTTTCAAGAAGCAGGAAAGCCAGCAAGCAGGAAAGACATGAAGTCCTCACTTTCATGTTTTGTTAAGAAAAATAAAGATTTTGGACGTACACCTCCCTCTTGTGTAAAATATTAATCAAGTAATGAAATGAACTAAAGTAGTGAATAGGACGGGAACAGAGAAGAACGTAAAAGCCTCAGAAGACAAGTTCCTATCAGAGACTAAACAGTCCCCTCCCTGAACTCTATTAAAAAAAGTACATTCCATAGCTAGACAGCAGACACAGAAACCTCAGTGAGTCATGGGCTCACAATTTCAATTTATTATCAAAATATTGCCATCAGGTAACAAATCTGAAAAGATGAGGAGAAGCAGAGCTACATAGATGCAGGTTTGCCCTTTTATGCTAGCCACCTTAGGGACAGATTGAACGGTGAAAATCCTGCTTGTAAATCACAAGTCTTATGTATCTTCAGACAACTGTCCAATGGCAATGTTTAAGCCAAAGTTTGTACTTAAAGCTTTTCATCAATATGATTTATAAGTTTAAAAAAATCTCAAATGTTCATCTGTACATCTCTTTACAGATCTTGGTTCATAACTATTTATCTCAGTCAGAAATGTCAATATTCAATGATTACCTATAATAACAATTACTTAGTCATAAATGTAGTTAACAATTAAATATAAAAATTATTATTTATACAGTGCTACAAATATCTTAAAAAGACCAAGTTTTGAGAAAGAAAGAGAGAACAAGAAATTGCTTAGAAAATTGCAGGGAGCCTCAAGGATACTGATATCAGTCAAAACAGGTACAACAGAACACAGTTTTAGACATTCATTTAGCCCTAAGTGCTTCAAATAAAATGATCTCAGAATGTGTAACTGATGACTGGAAAAGTGAGTTAAAACTACTTAAATCCCAAGGCCCCAGTATGTGTAAGAATTCTTTGGAAGAGATCTGAAGGAGCATAAAGGTCGCAAATAAAAGTACAAATAAGATTTCAGCATATGTTTTTAACACCCACATCACTGATGTGCTTTTGGTGCCAAGCACATTCTTCAACTTCTTCTTCCTCCCTTTGATTGGAAATCTGCTCTAAATGGTTAACACCGTTTTCAAGAGACATCAACCTGCCAGATCGTATGAGAAACAGAAGTGAATTTAATACTATCTTGAGATTAAGCAGTATTTACACAGTGAGAACTGATGGGTTTGACAGACGTTAGAGTCCTCCTCCCTCCACACCTTTTCCAGGATAGCTTAACCTCCTTTTGACTATGATGCACTCATCTCTGTGAGTCTCCCTGTGTAAGAACAGTGAGTCCGTGGCCCTGTCTCTTGGACGACGTTCCCCATTTCCCCGGTGTTGACGAGTCTAGCCACGGGCCACAGGCTTCTTCTGAAGATCACCAGACCCGGCACTTTCTTCTTGGATTCATGTATGAATTCTTGAGGCAATGAAAGGCTTCTGAAAACTCAGCGGAGTTCTGCAAAGTCCCAATAATCCTATAAATCAAACAGAAGTCACCGTCAGCATTTGACACTCACGCCCATCCCATGGGGGAGCGGTATAGAATTTCTCTGTGTAAGCCAAGTGAGTGAATTTGGAATTTACAGTTAAAAAAAAAAAAAAAAGAAAGAAAGAAACTGGTAGAATGAGTTTATTCTTCTCATTAACAGAATTTTTAAATGGAGAGGTAACAAAGTACAGGAGTTAAGGGAACAGATTTTGAAGACAGACGCTATGGTTTGAATCCTGGTTACGAGTTATACTTATTTAGCCTCTCTGTGCCTCAATTTCCTTTCTGTAAAATACATATAATAATAGTTCCTGCATCTTACAGTTGTCATGAGGAGGTGATTTATAATCATTCTATTCACTTTTGTAAAATACATTAAATTTGGAATTGCAGTTAATATAAGGAGAGTTTGGTCAAAGAATAAAATCCTGACTTTTCATGATAGTACCTTGAGAGGGTTGACATAACTTAAATATAATAGACTTTGGTTGATTTGATTTAATAGGGAAGACCGCAAATATTTTCTTTTTTTCCAAAAGAACTCCGTAAATATCAGAAACTGGATCCAGCCCGAATAACTGGAAAGGTCTGGCAAAATGCCAATTTCTTCTTATCTCTGACCCCAAGGGGCAAAGACAGCAGGGTCCAACCTACTACTGGCACCAATCAGTCAGCATCTGAAGGAAAAGACCGGTCAGTACAGTGATGCAGAGATATTTTCCCATCGGCCCAGAACCAGCTCCTTCCCTTCTCTTCCTGACAGGCTGCCACACCCACCTTGGGCTGGAGGAATCGAGTGGACTGGAGTGGAGGGAAGGCCAGGGACAAGTGACCTGAGGGGACCTTCTAATCTCCTGAGATCTTCGTACACAACAGATGTGTTAATGTTTAAATATGAGCACGTCTCCCCCCTCTAAGCCATTCTCCACCCAGCAGACGGAGTGATCTTTAACATTCAGATCAAATTCCTTTGTTCCCCTACCTAAGACTTTCCAGGGGTCTGCAGGAAATTCAACCTTCTCACCATGGTCTCCAACATCCAGATGGCTCCGGCCTACCTTCCGGGCCTCCTCATGGGAGGCTTCTTTTCCCATTCCTCACTGGGCTCACACGACACTGACTTCCTTCTCATTCCCCACAGTGGCCGAGCTCCTTCCCTTTAGGGCCTGCTGCTCCTGCCGAGCCCACTCCCTGGGGAAGTGTGGCTCTGTGGCCAAGTCCTTCTCAGTCTTCATGCCCCTGCTTAAACGCACCACCTCACAGGCTTTCTTCAAACACTGTCCAAATTAGTGTCCCACCTGCACTAGCCCTGTCGCAGGTCTTACCACAATTTACAGTCATGTGTTCTTCATTTCCCGACGTACCCACTCAACTCTAGTCTCTGTCTCCCTTGCTCCTGCTGCGCCCCAAAGCCTAGCACACTGCTGTGCATACTGCAGGACTCAGACCGTGCTGGGTGCACGGGCCTGGCACCTGATCACGCGGTTACATGGAAACGGTAACGGCATTATGAAGAAAAAACACGGCTTGGTTTTGCGTTGTTTATTCGCTATTATGGATCACCTAGGATGGAAAGAAAGCATTTCCCTACCTCGTTCTAGGAAAGAAAGGTCCGTATTGCGTTTCTCAAAGTCTGACTTTCTGATGTATCATCTGTTACCACAGCAACTGTCTCTCAATCCCTCCAACAACCCCCCCCTCCATCCCTCAGGGAGGATGTAAACTTTAAAAGGAGTCTTCCTGGGATGGGGGTGGGGGCTGAGGAAGGATGGAAGCCAGAGCTGGAGAACTGGCAGCTCTTGGTCCAGGTGAAAGGGAGAAGGCGGGCCCACTCCCACCTGGGTGGCGTCCTGGTAAGGGGGGTGGTGTGAATGACAGGACACGCCTCCACTCAGAGCAGGGCCCCGACAGAACCTTCGGGAGGATGGTGTGTGGCCGTCGGGGAACCTGAACATCAACAGTGGTGGCTCCTGTGGCCCGTGTCCATCACCACTGGAAAGAGATAGAGGCACTTGACTTCAGATGGAGCCCTCGGAATGCAGGAGGGTCGGCAGTGACCAAGGGGGTGGGGATGCGGAGGCTCTTCCCCAATTTCTCAGCTCATGTCATGTTTGGATTCCTGGGTGACCCTAGAAAGGAGTCCACTGAAAACTACTGAAATTAAAGTTCTCACCTCCTGGCTTAGGGTGGGAGCTTAGAGCTTGAATTAATTTGATGTAAAAGTAATAATAATAAAAGTGTGTCATTTCTTACGTCTTAAAAGTTCAGAATAAATTCGCTTGATGCTTGGTCAAAAATGATCATATGTGTAGGAATGAAAAAATTTAGACATCAGGGATTTGTATGGGTCTTTAGTCTTTTAGGTTCTAGACCCACAGACTCTGAGTTACAGAGAGTTTGAATTCCTTTCATACAATCCCCTTTCCACTTTAGGAAGCCCTGTACCCTGGCTGGGGACAGTCATCATGGTGCCTGCTGTCTGTCAAGCTCCCATTGGACTGACAGAGAAAGCAATCAGGAGTCACTGGTTGGAAGAGCTGCTCTTTTTTGTCTTTATTTTATTAAATAATGTTTCAAAGGATTATATCTTAAATGTAAACATATGGGGACAAGTACTTCAGTAATGATGTCCAAACCCATGACTTCTACATTTCTCTTAAAAACATTAAGGAGCCTTGGCCGGTTTGGCTCAGTGGTTAGAGCGTCAGCCTGTGGTCCAGAGAGACCCGGGTTTGCTTCCTGCTAAGGGCAGGTACCTTGGTTACAGTTTGTCCCCGGCCCTGGTTGGGTCATGTGGGTGGTGACCACTCGATGTGTCCCTTTCACGTCGATGTTTCTCTCTCTCTCTCTCTCTCTCTCTCCCTCCTATTCTATCTGAACAACAACAACAACAAAAATGGAAAGAAAAAACATTAAGAAAATTAAAAAGAAAAAAAAGCCACACCTCAAAACAAGAAAGTCTTCACCAAAAAATCACTAGGAATTAGCAATGCAACGATAGTCAGCCTCATGCACACTCAGCTCTTGGTCTCCGTCTCATCTCTCTCTCCAGCCAAAGGCTTCACTTAGATAACTTGATTCTGAATAATTAGGTCAACAATGTACTTGGGCTACATTTACTTTCCTAGATTCTAGTTATTGCTTGATTGTTTATAACATCACATCTACGGGTGGATGACATAAGTCCTCTATTTCAAAAATTGGATACATTATTGATAATAAATGAATCCCTTCTTCTTTTTTTTTTTTTATCCTCACCCGAGGACATTTTTCCATTTTTTGTTCAGGTAGAGTGGGAGGGAGAGAGAGGAACAGAGAGAGAGAGAGAGAAACATCGATGTGAAAGGAACACATCGAGTGGCTGCCACCCGCACAACCAACCAGGGCCGGGGACAAACTGCAGCCGAGGTACGCGCCCTTAGCGGGAACCGAACCCGGGTCTCTCAGGACCGCAGGCCGACGCTCTAACCGCTGAGCCAAACCGGCCAGGGCAATGAATCCCTTCTTTAAGAGTGGAATTATATTTTATTAATACTACATAGACTACTTACATAATTTCTTGCTTTAAGGAAAGTATGTAGGTTTTGTGTTTATAATAACAGAATATAATAAAGGCTTTTGATTATTTCTATAAGTGATTTACTTGAAATTTTTACTTTTTTACATAAACTATTTTATTATACTGCTGCTGTTTATTCACTTGTCCGGTAATCACTTATATTAATAACACTTGTAGGTGGAAGGTAGTTAAAAAGGTACAAACAGCCCTGGCCGGTTTGGCTTAGCAGTTGGAGCGTTGGCCTGCGGACCAGAGTCCCGGGTTCAGTTCCCGCTAGGGGCATGTTCCAAAAATAAAAAATAAATAAATAACTAAAAAAAAAAAAAGGTACAAACAGTTATGGATATTAGCTGAACTTATTATTGTAATAATTTTGTAATATACGTAAATCAAACAATTGTGCTGTATGCCTTATACTTATATAGTGATGTATATCAATTATTTCCCAATAAAACTGGAAAACATAAAAGCAAAAAAACATCTAAGAGACATGCAGTTCAACATCATGTGACCAAGAATGGACTTTGTATCCTATAACGTATCTGACTACTCCTGTCCACAATTAACTGATTTTTTAGATTACTGAATGAGCTTTTTGCAATTAATGGGTCCTCTGACAACCTTTTATTACTTCTTTTAAATGAATGACTTGGCTACAAGATTAAACTAGCTTCATTCATGAATAAACTATCCAGTCTTTACCATTACCTAATGGTCATGGTTCTTTTAAAGTAAGGTAACATTGATCCACTATAAATTGGTAAAGAAATAAATGCCCTAATCGATTCCCAGGTAGGGGCTAAAGATTAATCAGTACTAATAGGAATTCAACAAGGATCACCAAAATCCACACTGATATTTACAAATTATCAGAAACCAATGCTAATATTTAAGATAAAAAGAGAAAACATCAATATTTCAAAGAGGGTTTAGCTTAAGCATGTTAAATTATAGAATCATAAGAACCAAACAGCCATGGTACTTGAAAATGCTTCATAAAACCCTGGAAAGGAGCCTGGGCCAGTGTGGCTCAGTGGTCAGAGCATCGGCCTGCGGACCAGAGAGTCCAGTTTCAGTTCCTGCTAAGGGCACGGACCTTGGTTGCAGTTTGTCCCCGGCCCTGTTTGGGGTCATGTGGGTGGCAACCAGTCGATGTGTCTCTCATGTCGATGCTTCTCTCTCACTCTTCCTCCCTCCCTCCCGCTCTATCTGAAGATAAATGCAAAATGTCCTCAGGTGAGGATAAAAACAAAAAAACAAAAAATCAAACATTGGAAAGGATAGTCTCTCAAAAGCATTAGAAAGAAAGCTGTGGAAATATCTGTTACACTATTAGTAGTGTCAGTTCTGTAAAGTGCCCTTTTTTTCTGACTGGAAAAATAATTTCAAGCAATCTAAGCATCTAAACTAGCACTATTTAGGTAGAATACACACAGGTATCATCTGGTCTTTTGAGACTTGCTTTAAAAAATTAGCAAACCCTTCTATATTATGTAGAAATATTCCATCTAAATAACCTCATAAACACATTTGCAGATTAAATAGTAAATATTATCATAACAATCATTCCCTGAAGTGACTGAAAGAAGTCAATAAATTGCAAATTCAATTTCTATAATATCAAGGGGAAATGTTTTGTTTTAAATACTAATACTTTAGAAGCTCATTTAAAAGTACATAAGACTTTAGTTAGAAAGAATAGAAAAATTATAGCCTAGATCTAACAAATGATTTTATAGATTCAGCTTTATACGAAGTATAATTTGCCTTTTGTTTTCCAAACTGTGGCTGCGTAAGCATAAGAGTATAAAATCTCCCTCAATTTCAGAAATTTCTACACAAACCAGTACTCACAATGTTTCAATAGCAACTCCATGTCTCTTAGTTTTCAGGTTCTTTAATAAATATGTTTTACTTTGTACAGCCAGGAAGTGAACTGTTTCCAAAGCTAAATGTAACCTCAACCTCTTGCCAAGGAAATCCCTTTACCTCCAGAGAAAATAGTTTCCTTGACAAAAGGTTGGCATTCCACTTACCCTTTGAAAAACAACAACACATACTTTTCTCTTGTTATGAATGAAAAATAGTCACAGAAACATCTTTTGGGTCAGAACAAAGAAAATGAAAGTTGCAAATAATGTTACATATTTATAATAAATAAGTACTTTTGCAAATAACAAAATTCTACAATTAATAGTCATAAAATTATTTTCAGTTTATAACTGGTGGTAGAAAACAGTTACATATTTCCCTACATGTCACTTAACCAGTCATCGGTGATTAACATGCTGAACTATCCAGACACAAGAAATGAACAACAGAAAGCTTCTGACGGTCCGAAAGCACAGAATGCTGCAAAGCCCATGTACTTTATTCACAGAACTTCTCATTCTGTTCACACCTTTCTTCTTTAAAACCAACCCTGGTACTAATTGTCAAACACCAATATGGAAGAGGTCCTTCAGAAACATGAATCCTTCTAGCAACTCTCATAATAATTCAACCCCCATTTCATATATCAGGAAATTGAGACACAGAGGTTAAGAAGCTGTAAATGGCAGAGCCATGGTTGGGATTCAAGTGTTTCTTACTTCAAAGCTGGCATTCATTTGTTAGCATGTAAGAGGAAGGATATGTTTCCCGAGCTAATCAGAACAGAGGAATGGGACAGTCACAAGCCGGTGATGGAGTAACAGGAAAGAGTATTAGGGAAGAAACAAACAGGAAAACCCTAATAAAAAGCCATCGTGAAAAGCCCAAATCATCACCATTAGTAACTTTAGTGCAGGAGTACATAGCTCCCCACCCTGTAGCTTTTGAGATCTTCACTAAACTAATAGACAGTGAAACCATAACTATTAGTCATAAATAGTCTGTGTCATAAAAAGAAACAAATTAGGGCCCTGTCCAGTTTGGCTCAGTGGTTGGAGCATCGGCCTACAGAGCAGACAGTCCCAAATTCAGTTCCTGCTAAGGGCACATACCTCGGTTGCAGTTTGTCCCTGGCCCCGGTTGGGGTCGTGTGGGTGGCAACCGGTCGATGTTTTTCTCTCACACCAATGTTTCTCTCTCTCTCTTCCTCCCTCTCTCCCTCCTGCTCTATCTGAAGATAAATGCAAAAAAAGTCCGCAGGTGAGGATAAAAAAAAATTAGGTTTTGTTTAGGATATTGTATTAATAAGGCAAGAAGTTAGAAGATGTATTTTAAACAGAGCAATTTTTAAGCCAGTGGTTAAGAAACAAATGTTAATACTCAAGACAAATTTTAGCTATTAAACAATTAATTCATTTGCAACCCCCATTCCCTGAAAACACCAGATGCACCAGGTGTTACAGAAATTTACTTAAACTTACTGAGGTGTCTATGGATATATGCTTCAGAGCATGGGGACATGCAGGGAAGAACTGACAAATGCGATTGTGCTGGTGGTTGGTAGTTTGTGTGAGCTCCCAATCGCTCTCTGTTATCCTCAGAATTAGAATCTTATATCTTAACTTCTGAAGACTTCAGTAAGAAAAATGACAACTTTTGAAAAGTTGAAACTAAAAGCTACTTAGATAAACTGTAATGGCAATTGATCCAGGGACTTTTGCTGATCACATAAGAAGCAGTTAATTTGGATATCCTAGCAAGACTAAATTCAGCCTGGATTATACACAAAACAGACAAAACAGTTGCTGAGTGAGTGAATTTTGAAAGAAATATTAAAGCAAATACTAAATGATGATGATGATGATGACACTAGAACAAGATGAGTAATTAAATTCTTTAATTTTTAAATGTGCTATTTTATTGTTTCATAATTGAATGTGGGTTTTCCTTATGAGTGAATAATATAGGCATTATGTACATGTGTATTTAGGAAAGGCTTTTAAAATTCAACCCATTGCCCTGGCCAGTTTGGCTCAGTGGTTGTGTGTCGACCTGCAGACCAGAGAGTCCCAAGTTTGGTTCCTACAAGGGGCACGTACCACAAAAAAAAAAAAAAAAAAAAATTCAACCCATTAGTTCTCTTTTGTTTTCAGACTTTTTTCAACCACTCTTCAAATTTTTAAATTTGTTTTTCAGATAGTCTTGCCTGAGAAAAGTTGTTGTTAATCAGAAGTGATATAGTACCCGGGGAAGGGGTAGCATTAGGAATTTATTCCTAAAACAGACGCATAAGGATCTAGGATTTAACATTCAAATGCTGGCTAGACTGATTCTTTCAATACAATGTTCTCTGAGATTCTCTGATTTAAGAAGGGCTTTCAATATCTTCTAACTCAAACTTCCACCACACAGAGTATTTTCCTCCATCATCCTCGATGGGTTCTTCTCTGGCTTCTGCTTCAAGGTACTCTCTCCTCGAGCTTTGGGGATAACTTCACTCCATGTCACACCAGCTCTAATTACTAAAAAGTTTCCCTTTACATTAAATAAAAATCTTTCTTTGGGATAGCTAGCTACTCATTGATCCTAGGCCTAACTTTTCACCACCTCTTAGAAAAGTCTTGTGCTACCTTTAAATAGAGCCACCATTCTGAGGTGACATCTTTGTTGGAATCCGTCAAACACTGAGCCCAGGTCACGTATCTTCTGAGGATAAGAGCAGCGAAGGCTATGTTTGTGCAATCATGACATTTACCCTAATCGGTTCTGTTTTGCGGATCCTATCTGTAAGCCTCAAAAGAGAAGAAAAGAAGAAAACACACTAGATTTCCAAATTTTATAGAATAAGAATTAGAAAAGTCAGTTTCTGAAACTGGAAGTAATGGAGCCCATATTGGAGAACCTGGCTGCTGTTCAAACCCACTCACCTGAAATTGCCTGGGCTGTGGGCATCTGTTTTAATGGAGTTGACTGCATACTCTGGCCTGTAGGTCCCACACCACACCTAGGGAGAGGAGCAGAGAAAGGAAATCGGTGCTCAGGTTTAATCAAGGATATTACTTACTTGTTTGGGCAGGCTGGGGGAAAACAAACTTCCTACTGAAAAAATTAAATTAGAATTCTGTATTCCTTCAACCATTTGCTCCTTGAATAATGTTCAATGATAGGCAAGCAAGAGCATAATTATCATTAATATAATCTGACAGTCTGTGCTACACAACAAAATTTAGTCAAGTCAAACAATCTGCCACAATGGATTAAAACAAGGAAACTCAGCATGCATTATCTAACTTACTATAAAAATTATAACTCAAAATGATTTTCATATCTATCAGTCAAGACAGATACCATACCTGAGCAAAGTTCAAGAAGAATAGTTGTTTGTGATTTAGGTCAAGTCCAGGAAGTAATTTTTCTTCGCCATTCTTTTTAACATAATTTTGATAGGCCTAGGCAGTTAATGAAACAGAAACATGATGTTTACAATCCCCAAATTTATGTATAAATCTCTGCAAAAGACTGCATAACCAAGTAATTAATTTTCTGTATCAGAATCATCATAATGCTATGTTTAGCTATGGCAACCTACAACTATTTCATGAATTAGAAAGAAAATCAGAATTTATTACAAATGCTTTGAAAAGAACAGGATACTGATTAACAAATGACAAGAGCCCAGCACATGTTAAATGATCAACAAATGTCAGCTGAATGAATAGATGATTTAAATAAGCAATGAAAAATTTATGTAAATGTTGTTCTATTGATAGATGGATGAGTCCAGCTAGTTGGAAGAATGGATTGCCAAGGGAGTCTGTAATTGCTATATTTAGCTTAGTTACTACTCTTAGCAAAATATACTCATACCAGACTTTGAGTGATTTTTGCCAAAAGTCAAGGGATTCTCTTAAGATCCCTTAGATGCCTAATATCCTATAATTCCAAAAATAAGGATGAGCAATTATTTTGGCCCATTAAAGACAGGGCAAAACAAAGTGAATCTTGGTTACATTAGGAAAAAGGAATTTAAATTACTTGAATGTCAAAAAATATTTTCAAGTCTTAAGGATTTATGGACACTATTGAAAAATGTAGTTTTCCTCTACTTAAACATACTTAAGAAAGGGATTGACAACAATTTTTTTAATAATGCACATTTAAAAAAAATATGTTTTTATTGATTTTAAAGAGAGAGAGAAAGGGAGAGGGAAACAGAGAAATTTTGATGAGAGAGAACCATCAATTGCTGCCCCCTGCACCTGTCCCCCCCCGCCCCCCCACTGGGGATCGAGCCAGCAACCCGGGCATGTTCCCTGACCAGGAATTGAACTGGCGACCTTTGGCTACACTCACCAGGGTGACGACATATTTTTTGAGATGTGTCATTTCCAATTTAATACAAAAAAGGTGATCAACTGGGTAAGCAGAAGATATATTTCATTTTTTTCTACTTGCTATTACCATAGATTTATTGAGTCTCTATTATGTAAAGATGATGAGGAAATGGGGGGTACTTCTTAGGAAGTTCACAATCTAGTAGGGGACAGGGAATTAGATGGTATGATTTCATGTATAATAAAATATTTGCACAAATGCAAATTACTTCATAATAATTCTGTACTTATTCTAGATGAGGATCTCTGTGGAAGTACCATCAACCCAGATTTTGGCTAGATTTTTAAAGCAGCGATTCTTAATCTGGCAGTGTATTAGAATAACCATGGGAGTATTAAGAGTGCCAATGTCTTCTTCCAGGCAAGATAGAGTGACAGGGACTGATTAAGACGATCCTTGACTGAAACAACCAAATGATGGACAAAATACAAGAAACAATGGCTTGCATGATACTGGACACTGGGAAAAAGAGAGTGATCTCTGTGAGATGGTAACCAAATAATTTGAGCCCTATGATTGCCCCAGCTTACTGTCTTCAGCATTTCCAGGCTACAACGTAGAGAAGGGCAACCCAATCAGAGTCCAAAGGACTCCTAGAGTTGAGTACAATAAGTTCAGGGACACCAGGGACAGGGCACAGGAGAGGAGAAAGCTGTACGGATAGAGGATCTCAAGCCATTAGAGGCCCCCTTAAATATTCAGCTGAATATGTGAATATGCATGTGAGCAAACCACCCAAGGCTAGTGAAGGAACCACGGCCACAGATTAGAGAGAAAAATGTCTGGTATGCACACTCAACAAAAACGAAAGACCTCAAGATTCACACAGAAGGGTTTTGCCTCAGCAGTGGAGAATAACTGTCTTTAGACTGAGCGCCTTCCTAGTCCCACCTAACAAGTTGTAAAAGCAAGATCCAATAGGACCAAATCATTTCTGAGGAATTTAACTGTGTCTTAGAACAAACCTCAAAAATACTTATAGGAAAACAAAAATATGCAGCTTCCAAAGATATAAAATGCACAATGTCTGGCATCAGTAAAAAAAAATGACCAAGTATTCAAAGCAGCAGCAATTTCACCATCTCCCAGGATTTGGCAGGGATTCTTTCTTTTGGAAGTTTTGCAGTCAGCTTCCTGCCCTGAGTCTTACATGCTGATCATCCAGCCATGTGCACTGCCAAGTCACAGGCCCCACTGGTCATCTCTCTTGCACATGCCTCTGATGCTTTCTCTTCTTTCCTGATCCAACTACTGAGGCTCTCCTCCTCCCCTCTAAACCAAAGATTTCTATGGTGAACAAATAACCCTACACCCGCATCCGCTTCATGGAGCATTTGATTCATCTTATCATGGGGACACCTTGTCCACTGTATCCTCTCAAGTGACTCTGCTCATTCTCCCACATCTGGGCTCCCTCAGGGTTAGAAGATGCACTCAGCATTACCCTCACTCCTCACGGTTGCTTCCAAGACCTGTATTCCTCCACTCTGTGCAAATGCCTACTTTTTCCTGTGCACCATTCTCCCATCCTTGTTTAAATGATCAAGTACTGGCATCTGTTAGGGAGGGTTCACAGCATAGCTTCAGCACTGAGAATAGTGCCAAACACACAGTCAATCCTTCAACAGGTATTCGTTGAATGCACGAATTAATGGAAGGCTAATAAGAATCTTTGAACGCTTCGTGATAAACTCCTCTGCCTATAATGGTTTGAGTGACTAAAAGGCCACATGCTGAAACTGTATCCATTAGTCCAGTGGTTCTCGACCTTCCTAATGCCGCCACCCTTTAATACAGTCCCTCATGTTGTATGTGGGCGTATCTGCATGTGGGCGGACCCGCCTGGAGACAGATAGAGGAGCGGGGTCTCGGTTCCTAAGACCATTGGAAATACGTGTTTTCCGATGGTCTTAGGCGACTTCTGTGAAAGGGTCGTTTGACCCCCAAAGGGGTCGCGACCTACAGGTTGAGAACTGCTGCCTTAGTTCCTCACTGTATCATTGTCACTGGACTGTGCTTTAATGTTTTGCCTGTGGTTTATGCTGAGTATGTTTCCCAAATACTGCTTCACCTGTTATAAACTGAAGGTCCTGTTCAGTACATTGATCAATGATTCTGAAATAATCTTTTCATTGGGCCTCTTTTGTTATAACTGTATTTCAGAGATTATTTTTCAGAAAAAGGTTGCCTTCTCTGTGGACTTGCCCATCTCCTCACTTCTGTCAATATAATGTTCTGTGTTTCCATTTCTCAGTTTCTTGCGTTCAGCTAGATCACAACTATATTGCCCCTGGTAGTCAGCCTATTTACAATTCCCTTTCTCCTCGTATTTTCCATTTTAATCTTTTGCTGCTTACATTATGTGTCTTTTGCAAAAAGCTTTAAATGAATGATTGAATATGATAAATATACACTCCAACCACTAACATAGGAAAAAATATTATTACTCACTCTGTATGCTTGGCCAATACCTCCATTATCAGCGATGTTTTCTCCCAGTGTATTAATTCCATTGATCTGGTTAAAAAATAAAAAGACCGTTAACTCTGTTCTGATGGTTAAGAGTGCATATAAATGTTTCAAGAGAATGCTGATGACATACATGCTGTCCACCGGCTAGGTCCCAGGAGAAGTTTCCGTACTGTTCCACCATGCACTGGGATTGCTCTTTGAAATTATTTGCAGACTGTTGTGTCCACCAGTCAATGAGGTCTCCATCCTTGTTAAAATTTCTGCCTAGAATATATTTATTCAAGTAAAATGAGAACTCATTACATCAAGAATTACAATAAGATGCTTTTAATTCAAAATGCAAGAACTGAAATACCACTGTGTGAGAGGACATTCAGTTGAACAGATAATGAGAGGAGCTGTTATCTTTCTCATTCAGAGTTGATGAGACCAGGGTTTTCTTTGCTGATCTGCCTCAGTATTAATTCAGATAGTTCACCTACCTGGCTCATAAGATCGCAGCTGAGGCCGCCAGATAAACACTCCTGAAACAATGCCTTATTTCTCTTAGATGGCTTTCACCTAAACCATGTCTGTTTAATTTGACATTCTGAGATTTTAAAAGGTCATATTTTCATTCCGGCATGCATCTCATATTTCAAAGTCTCCTGACACACCGTGGACTCAGTTTACCTCTACTTCAGGCACAAAGAAAGAGTCACCTTTTCTCCTGGAGCCTTCCTGCTAAATACATTGATCTTTCCCTTGTCTGAGATACAGTGGCATTCACATATGTCATATGTTCTGACACTGAATTTCATCATCTCTTTAATAGTTATCTAGGACGCAGTGAGTAAGAAAAGAGCTATGAATACAAACTACCTGAACTCACACCCTAGTTCCACTGAGTCTTTTAATTGTCTCTATTTTTTTTTCCATTAAGAAAATGGAAATAGTGTTCGTACCTACCTGTGAAGACTGTTGTGTACTTAACTGAGTTAACTGACACTTAGTAAGTCCTCTTCAAAGTTGTACCCTTTCCATATCCTTTTCTTTCTCTGGGTCTCTAGGTCTAGTTAAGGCTTAATGATTTTCTTATTGTTCTCTTCTGTTTCCTTTCCCCTTGCTAACCAATCTCTGTCACAGCTTTAGCTGGCACCTCTTTACATATCTCCTGCCTTTACTGCTTTTCCTCTCAGTTTCGTTGAAACTCAAAATCGATTTTGCCAATCAAAATTTGATTTTGCAGTATATAAACAGTTAAGTGCCCATTGTTTTCAAGACCCTAAACCAGGTAGTAGGTATAAGATTAAAAAAAAAAAAAAGTTACACACCACAAACAGTTTAAGACTCTTATGGCTGATGGGCATCTTAATGTTTAATTTTTTATATCTGATGTTAAGATGTGGACCCTGCCTTCTAAAATCTGAAGAACTAAAACATTAAAAACTCATAAAATAAAACCACATATTATCATTGGTGTCCTCTCATTGTGAATATTTCCACTATTCCATCAGAGAGTGAAGTACACACTGCTACTTCACTACTAGAAATGTCTAATCTTCTTAAGCAACAATTTAAAAGGAACACTAAGAGTGTTCCTTTTTAGGATAATGGTACATGAGTGAATACATGTATTTTTATATTGATAAATTATAGTAACTTTTAATCAGATTTATTAGGCTATATCTCAATTAAAGGCATGTCAACTGCACTTTACCATTGTCATCGAAGCCGTGGGTAATTTCGTGTCCTATGACCATGCCGATGCCCCCGTAGTTCAGTGAGTTAGGCTGCCGGGCGCTGAAGAAGGGGGGCTGAAGGATGCCAGCCGGGAAGACTGCAAGGGGAGAAGATGGTCAAGGGTTACTTGCGGCGTTGTTTTGGGAGGACAGCCCTGGGGCTGGCTTCTTGCCTGTTAAACTATTTTCCAGTATGTCCATTTCACTTAATTATACACAAAAATCTTTTTGTGACAGAACCAAATGCAGGTCTTTTATTATTGATGAGAACAAGGAGTGCATCCCAGAGAGACACCATTAATCTGTAATGTATAATCACATTTTACTTGACAATCTCTAGTAGGACTGTTTTTCTGTTACAAGGAGTTTAGAGCAAAGGGAGATTATCATCTTCATTCAGAACATCTTCTCCCCATTTTAATATTGGGAAAAATACTTAATATCAAAAGCATTACTTTTAACGTTATCTAACATTTTACCCAACTTTCATAACCTATTAAATAAATAGAGCCATTCAATAGAAGGTATTTCCAACTGTATAATGGTATTTTATTTTCATCAAGCAATCTATGACTGTGTATTCCTTATTTATGATTGTTGTTCATTTTCTTGACTGTCCCACTCCCTAGCACCTCAACTATTAGCCCTTGGAGAGCAGGGATTTGTGTGTCTATATATGGGTTGGTTTTTTTTGTTGTTCGTTTGTTTTTTTTCAGTTCATTATCTCCAGCACCTAAAACAAGAATGGTGTCTGGAACAATCTAAGTGCTTAGAAAATATGTTGAATAAATAAATAACCAATGATAAATCAATGAATTAATAAATTTACTATGGTGTTCTGAAGACTTTAGTAAATAATCACTTTCATATGTCTACCCTTACATCTACATTAACTTGATGACTTTCTATACTTAGATGTCTTTCTAATTCTTTAAATTTCATGTGTCAAACATCAAACTCCTCATTTTCCCCTCTAAACCATCACTCTCTTGACTTTATTGTTTCTATTACTAGCATTTGAAGGGTCTCAATTCACCCAGAGTGAACATTTTCTACTTATCTTAGCTGCCTCCTTGCTTTAACCAGGTCTCACACAGTTTGTTTAGGAAATGACCAGATCACGCACCTCCCCTCCGGGAGCAGCTCCTCTGTTTCTCCCCCTGTCCCTCTTCCTGACACCATCCTTATTCACACTCTCATTCCCTGCTCGAGAGTTAATTCCTAATCACCCTCCCCACTTCCTCTCACCCATCTACAGTGTATCCCAAATCTAATTTATCCTGCAACCACACTGAAGTGCAACTCAGCTCATTGCCACTTCCTTGCTGAAAATCCTTGGACGGCTATCACAGCTCTCTAACGAAACTCTCCCACCCGCCTGACGCACAGACCTCTCCTCTGGCCCACCTCCCTCATGCCCTCCCTTTCCTTCATAACGCTCATAATTTAGTAATTTTAACTGTCATCTTTTAAAACTCTAGTATCGCTGAATAACAGAAACATTATGTTCTGTAACAAAAAATATCATTAGTATAATGTCTGTTACTTGTGAAGCCCTGGGCCATTGCTCTGCGGGACACCAGGATACAAGAGAAGGGCCCTGACCCGAAGAAAGTTGGAATCTAGTAAACTTAGTGTAGCAAATGTTTCTTCGTCTTTCGGGGTGGAGGGAGGTGAACATGACATAGGCTTGAATGTGTTTCAAGGATAAATATTAGATTATTTACAGAGGAGACTTTAAAAATGCACCAGGCAATTTAAGTGCTCTCCAGACCTTTAAAAAAATGTGTAAATTTGCTATAACAGTGAAAATGACAAAATAAAACACTTTTGTCCTTGGTGAATTTTGAGGAAAATTATACCTCACATGTGGCTGCCTGAGCTATCAACAGTGCCAAGAAATAATTTTTAGCTTAAAGTATAAAAATTACACGCAGTACTTTATTAACTTAAAGTGAACATTATCTCCCACACTATGTACTCTGATTAAAATCCACCCATTATATAAACGCTCTTATGAAACGTGCTAGCAAGACTAAACATTATCTGTAAAGATCCTGCTGCTTTAATTATACCCTGATATGCCATTCTTTAGCAAGTGATAAGATTTTTATGGCTCATATTAAATACAAGTCTCCAAGTTCAGCTTTGCAGATGACGATTTCTCCGTTTTCTCTGTCAGCTAAAACTCTATGATGAAGCTTTCCCCCATTAGCATTATCGCTGTTACTAGTAGACTTCGCAACTGTTCATAATAACCAACGAAATGCTTAGTTGTGCATTTTTTATGTTCATGGGTATCAACAAGTTAGTTAATTAAATATGCCATTATTAGTCCATGAAACAAAAACTGTGTTTTTCTCCTTCTCCTCCCCCTCACTTCTCCAGTCTGTTTTTAAGATTGCAGCAATTCAATTTTAGAATTTTTGTTATAAAGCTCAAGATTGCAATAGGTAAAATCAATTTTGGGTATAAAAAAATTCTTTTTATATTAAGTGTTTGGAAAATTTAGTCTTAATTTTCGAGTCTGCAGATAAGATTCCTAAAAATGAATAAGACAACTTTAGAAAATTTTATTATTTCATGGTAGTCATAGACCACCAGGTTGGATAAACCAAATATAAATAATCCATAGATTTCCTGAAGTTGAAAAAAACTTTGATTGTTAAGGAAAAAGGAAAATGCAGTGGTAGTAAATCTTCCCTTCTGACGTGATCATTTCCTTGGATAAGATTTTAAATTTCAATAAGATAATTGAATAGTACCTGGAACTTAGAGACACATTTGAAGGTGACTTTCCTAAGGGCAGGAAAGGTTTCTGGAGCTCCATGGAGCAAATATGCGAGGAATAGGAACCAGTGAGTGAACTGAACCCTTTCTGCGTACTTTGCTGTTCTAGAAGTTGACTAGTTTTTAATCGATGTGAAGTGTGGGGGTGCATAAATGGAATATAGCCTACAAGTATGTGTTATGACAAAAGGTGGCAAATGAATTAAAAAGTAGAAATTATTAATATGAATAACTCCTTATATGATAAAACACTTTATTTATTTATTTTAACCATGCCATAATAAAATTGATCTCATGAAAAATTGTTTGCAATTGTGTGAGGGTGGGAGGGTCATTTATGAGACACATTGTATTTTATACCAATTCTAATTCTGTAATTCACATGATACCAAATCCATTAAGACAATGCTACAAAAGTTATATATTTAAATATGTACACACACACACACACACACACACACACACTTTTATCAAGAAGTAAGATGGAGATCGAGAGCTTCAATTATTTTTAGTGAAGACAATCCGCACTTTGAAGATTTCAATGAATTGTCAAAGAGCAAACATCACATATCAAAGACACTTTTCTCTCGCATGACACTTTCCCTCTCTCTGAACTGCTATTATTAGCAGACAAGTATATGGAAAGAGGTTAACAATTTTTTTTTAATTTCATATTTTGTTCAGATGAATTTGTCTTCAGAATCTTTTAAAAGCCTTTCCTATACATTAAGAATGCTTGTTTCAGCCAATTACTGATTATTCAGAGGATAATGGTCCATTTTGTGAAATGTTAGGCCACTTTTACCTTCTTTTTCTTCTTGCTGTGTGCTTGTTTGGTTTGAGGGTATTAACTACAAACTGAGAACATTCCTAAGTCTTCGATAAGGGAATCTCTGACATGGACCAATTTTGAGCCAGCTCTGTAATTCAGAGCCAAACAAGATTCATTCTGGACGTGACGTATGTGGATCTGTTCTAGAGAACAGCTCAAGGGATGAACACACCAGCATGGCCTTATGGAGGGTCTGTCTGGCTCTTCTTGTTGGGATGACTCAATGCCAGGTCTGATAGGATCCAGGGCCCTTCCTGAGTTGGATTAAAATGAAGCTACGTATATCCCTTAGTCTGCCCTACTGCAAAACCAAAATCCAAGCTGCCTTGTTTTGCCTTGGGATTCCATTAAAAGTTATTTTTCCTGTTTAAGTTCAACTCAAGAATGAACTAGATGTTACACCGAGAGAATTATTGAATATCAAAAAGAGGTCTTCAAAGTAAAGACTCTGTAGCAGTGAAGGCACTTCTAAGAAAAGGGTTGAATGGTTTCTAGGACTATATTACAAAGGGTAGACTGCATGGGTTCTCAGTTGATCATTAAACAGGCTCTGGTCTGAGTTTAGGTAATCATTTCACTAGCTGGGAAATGTGTTAGCCTAGAAAAGACTTTGGGCTAATTGATTTTAACCCCGTGCACATGCCTGACTTATTATCTACATGTTCTATAAAAACAAACTTTTTTGATTATAAATCATTTTCATGTCACATACCAAAATAAATGCCAGATGGATTAAAGCTTAACTAAAAACAAAAAATCTCACATAAAAATACAAAAGAAAATGTAGATAGCTTCTTAATTTAACTTTTTCTAGGTTTAAAAGTAATGAGGAAAAGTATAAGCAACTTTAAAATAAAATAAGATTTTTAATTTCAATGGTAAAAATCTTGTAGGATTTTTTATCATTCCTAATCTAATTAGGAACAGAATTCAAGAAAAATGATGCTTGGGACAGACTCTGAGATACAAAAGGAGTAGTTTGGAATAATGCTGAAATTGTCTCCTGTCTGGATTCTTGACCACACTTAGAAATAATGGGCTGGACAGAGTATACCTGGAGAACCTGGCTAAACCCTTTTTTTTAAAAGATGTTGAACATCTTTTTTAAAAAATTCTTTTTTCCTGTAGTGATTTTAGAGAGAGAGGAAGTGAGAGGGAGAGATAGAAACACCTATGAGAGAGAACATTGATTGGCCGCCTCCAGCATACACCCGACTGGGGATCAGGCCTGTAACCTGGGCACATGTCAACGCTCAACCACTAAGCCACACCAGCCGCACAAACCTGGCTGTACTCTTTAGAATACTTCTGCTAGTACTGAATCAGTTAGGTGCCTTTCTACATACTAGGAACCCTTAGGGGAAAATGCACTCCTTTTTGATATACTTAAGAGAAAACTAAAAGATGTCAAGGTCTTCCCAGGAAGAGAACAAATGTATCTTTGTTATACTAAGCCATTTAGTTATTCAATATATCATTTACCCACGCATTAATTTCTATGCATATTTATGTCAGATTACTATCAGTGAACATATGAAAATTTTTTCTCTTTGGTCAAAAGTGGTGAAATAAATATAATTTCATATGGTTCAATCTAATATAATTGACTTTTCAACCTTCTGAGCCCCATGGAGTCTTCTAGAAAAAAAGATGATATGGAACAGGACCATTTCCACCAAAGTCAGAATACAGAATTGCCAGGAAAATTAAATCTCTGAAAAGTTGGTTCTTGGACCACTTTAAGATGTTGACACTTAGGAAGTCTTAGAGTTAATTTAACTTTATAGAGATATAAGAAATTTAAAAAAATATTTAGAAATAAAAAAGTACTTAAAAATAAAACATTTAGCTAAAAATGAGAATATTACTTTAAAAACTAGTTAATGTGCCCGGCTAGTGTGGCTCACTGGTTGCGCATTGACCCATGCACCAAGAGGTCACCGGTTTGATTCCCAGTCAGGGCACATGCTCAGGTTGTGGGCCTGATCCCCAGTGGGGGGCATGCAGGAGGTGGCCAATCAATGTTCTCTCTCATCGATGTTACTATCTCTCTCTCCCTCTCTCTTTCTCTCTCTCTAAAAATAAAAAAAAAAATATTAAAAAAAACAAAACAAAACACAAACTACTGCCCTGGCCGGTTTGGCTCAGAGGTTAAAGTATTGGCCCCTGGACCAGAAGTCCCTGGTTCGGTTCCCATTAAGGGCATGTACCTCAGTTGCAGTTTGTCCCTGGCCCTGGTTGGGGTCATGTGGGTGGCAATCAGTCGATGTGTCTCTCTCACATCAATGTTTCCTCCTCTCTCTCTCTCTCTTCCCCCCTCTCTCCTTCCCCCGCTATCTGAGGATACATGCAAAAATGTCCTCGGGTGAGGATAAAAAAACAAAACAAAACTACTTAATGTGATTTGTACTCACTTAAAAATTGTAATTATAGCGAAAAGAGATACATAAATTAATTTACTTTCAAAAGGTATATTCAATAAATCAGTAACTCAGCCTCAACTATGCTCTCATGGGGAGGATTATAAATTGGTCCCACAATTCACTACAGGTTGAAAACAATAAAAAAAATACCAATAAAAAATCATTTAGGAATAAACCTTACCTATCTGATTTCTGGCTGAAGAATAAAATGCATTGACCACAGCGGCTCCGCTTATCCACCTATAGAAAACAGAAAAACTCATTATAAATGATACCGCATTATCTAATTCACTCTGCTCAACACAATAAAGGTATTGTTACTACTTTAAGATAAATGTTCACTTTCTGCTTGAAATATGATCAGCAAATTAAAATAAGCTCATTAAGTGAGGAAACTCACTTGAAAGTATTTTTACTTCTTAGAAAATAAGACTATATCCAGGTCTGCAATCTGTTATTTCATTTGCATACATTTTTATGGTGGCATCTGACAGTACAGGTCCCACTAAAATGTATCTCTTCAGAAATTGCAATGAATTAAGATTATATTGAAATGTGTTTAACTATGTTCCTGATACGAGGTAACTGTGGCCAACAATTCTGGTGTAGTTGACAGTAAAGTGAAGAAGTTATGTGCCTCCAATTATTGTTGTTTAAAATTAATATTATTTTTAAAAAGACGGTCCAGCTAATTGAACACAGGTTTATTTTTGCATGGTGACTGTAAAATGAAATCCAAGTGGTTCTCAAAAAATTATTTTTTCTTTATTAATTTTAGAGAGAGAAGAAGGGAGAGGGAGAGACATAGAAACATCGATGAGAGAACATCGATTGGCTGCCTCCTGCTTGCCCCCACCTGGGGATTTGGCCCACAACCTGGGTATGTGCCCTGACCGGGAATCGAACCAGCGACCTCTTGGTGCATGGGTCAACGCTCAACCACTGAGCCATACTGGCCAGGCACCAGGTGGTTCTTAAATAGGTCTGACTATCTGTGCACAACATGAGAGGCTCTGTAGAGAATCTGCAGCTTTTACAAAATACGACTTCTGAATTCAGAAGACTCTAGTTGACGAGAATAACAATAAAATAAGACTGAATAAGAAAATGAAAAAAAGGTACCTCCCAGACAGTAATTCAAGGATAGTGTTAAGCTAAAGGATAGATGCAATGTGCCCTGTGTTTCTATACAGACGTTATGAAGACTGCCCTTCAGTAATCATAATCAAACACTTTGTGCATCAGGAGTATTATTCTCACCTTAATAGACTAATACACATTAGTTTAATATATTAGTCTAACAACAGACTAATATACACCCTTATATACTAATTGAAAAATGGACACTCTTTAATTTCAGATTAATTTCTTAAATGTCAGCATACATGCAAACACTTAAGATAACGTCATTGTAGTTATTCCACTTGCAGGGCAATAATTAGTGTGGCAATTATCCTACTCGTGGAATTAGCACAATGAGGTTAAATAGAACTGTTTCCAGAGCCTGCAGAAAGCAGAACAAAGTCAGCTGCCCAAGTCAGCACTTTGGCTGCAACTGCAGTAACTACTGTGGGAGGTCAGGTGTGAGTCTTATTCTGCTCTTTTAAAAATAACCGAGGGAGACCCAGATATAACAGGTATCTGATAAGTTCTAATTAAGTATGGGTTTTATCTCTAATAACATGACTAAGACATTTATACGAAGGATTTGGGACTATAAAAAAAAAAATCCAGATAACATTTTTGTGAGTTTTTCTTTAGGAAGAAAATAGTTTGAAGATAGAGGATGTGGGAGGGGAATGGCAGGTCAATGTGTTTCTTCTGTAGTTTAACGTTGTTGTTTTAAACAGAGAAAAACATTTTCAAACAGGGTGGTGTGACTGACATATTACTCCTCCCTAATTTAATTACAGCTGAGTCATCAATATTTTAATTTCTTAACAGGCTGATGATTACAGGCACATAATGTTATTTATTTTAATTAAACCCCACTTGCTTCCCACATGATTTGTTGATGACTCACGACAAGCACACGCATTTGTAAACCTAGGGCTGCTAGACTAAAACCGAGCGATCAGAAACCACGCAACACGAGTCGTTTTGTTTGTGTGACCAAAAAATATTATGAAATATTTATATAAATGAAAATCAGGATCAAGAGAAATGGTGGATTAGGTCTATCTTTATATATATTCACACAGCCATCATGACTCAGCTTCAAGGACAGTTGTACGCTGTCTGAAAAGCGTGCTCACTCTACTGAGGACAGCCACCACTTCCGGCGGTCCCTCTAGGAAGAGACCTCTGATGTGCCCTCAACACTTTTTTTTTTTTATCCTCACCCAAGGACATTTTTTCCATTGTTTGTTCAGCTAGAGTGGGAGGAAGAGAGAGAGAGAAACATTGACGTGAAAGGGACACATTGAGTGGCTGCCACCCGCACAACCCAACCAGGGCCGGGGACAAACTGCAACTGAGGTACATGCCCTTAGTGGGAACAGAACCCGGGTCTCTCTGGACCGCAGGTTGAAGCTCTAACCGCTGAGCCAAACTGGCCAGGGTGCCCTCAATACTTTTATAGCAAACATGGCAGTAGACTTTATGCATAAACAGCTTACAATTATTTTAATTGTTATAAACATTAATTTAACATGTTTCTGGTCTCAACTGTTTTAAGGTTCAGTTTCTCAATTAAGAGCTTCTAATGTTATGATAGTACACTCTGCACGGGCTTTTATGGGTAAGGCAAATAATGTGCATATTATTTGGTTCTGGATTCAGGCCCAATGCTAATATTGAAGTACAAAAGGTGCCAAACCAAACATTTAAAAAAATAATTTTATTACAGAGAAAAGGAACTAGACATATGAAACTAATATTTTAGACAGCAATAGATCTCAAAAGTAGGATATAGATGAGTGAAATTTATGTTACCTCATGTTTATTGCTTTTGTAAAAATAAATGTCATAACCTTTGTTTTGTGCTTTTCTGCTCTTTTGTTGGATTACTTTGAAGGCTTAAGATTGCATTTTGATTAATGTTTGTAACTTTCCAGAAGGGAGGGTTTTACATATTAAAACGTTCTCTGTGAATTATACCTTTAAGAAAATAGGTAGCTTTTTATGACCACAGAATGCTCAAATAAAATTAGAATTGTGATGGTTAGGTTCAGAGAGTACTAGTGTTGCGTGTTTGCCTTTTCTTCCTTGAGATCTTTCATGGTGTGTCCTCAGATCGCTCCTGGCTAATTTACCCAGATTCATTTGCCTAGACATACTGTCCCTGGGAAGGATCAGAACGTGAAATACTGTGATCGGATCATTACATCTTAAATAAAGTGAAAATAACAGCTATAGGCTCAGTGTCTAATATTTGTGGTCCAGAAGCTAAATTAACAGTGAAGGGATTAAGAAGTACAGATTGGCAGCTACAAAATAGTCACGTGGATGTCAAGTACAGCATAGGGAACATAGTCAATAGTGGTGTAATGACTATGTATGGTGCCAGGTGGGTACTGGAAATATCAGGGGGAACATATAAAGTGTATCACTGCCTAACTACTATGCTACATACATCTGAAACTAATGCAAAATAATATTGGATGTAAACTGCCGTTGAAAAATAAAATTTAAAAAATGTAAAAAAAAGAAAGCAGTGCAAAACAAAATTTATAAATTAAATGGTGATGTAACAAAACTAGTCCTTTTGATTTGGATGTAGCCTCAAAGTTTCAGGAGAAGATTCCATTCATGTAACACAAACAAATTAGACCCTGACGAGCAGTGCAGGAAAGAGAAGATGCGCAGAAGAGAAAACCAAATGGTGGTGATTCTTGACCTAAAATAATGGATCGTGTAGGCTACCTGGCGATACCTTCAGAATATGGAGGTCAGATACCAGCAACCTCGCGAGCAGGTGTCAAGCCTGAGACCTGAGCCAGACATCACTCGGTTCTTTCGTTTTTCTTGCTGCTGCCTGGGCTCCATGTGTGTAGGCGCAAGGATGTGTGTGGTGTGGTATAAAGCACGGAGTGGGAAAACAAGAAGTAAGAAAACTTTACTTTTAATTTCTGAGACACAGTTTTGTCAGGTAAACTTGTACTTTGGGGCTTTCAACAGCGGGACAAAGAAGGGCAGCCTTTGCAGCATGGCCCTCAGAGCTGAACTAACCATGTGGATGGGAAATATAACTGAAATCCTCTTGAGAGAGGGACCAGGTGTTTCTCTTCTAGCTCTCATTACCCTGAAGAACCTAAGTGGTGATAAAGCTAAAGCACACAAACATCATTTTTATAGCAGGGAAGAAAAGCAGAAGTCGACAGCCTGATACTATAGCTTTTTGGATATAATAAACCCACTGGATTGCAAAAGCACCTGGAATGAAACTTCTCTTTCACCCACTCATGTGTAACTTTAAAACTTAAAACAACAAAATGGTTAATGTCCCTTTCCCTGAAAGTGTTCAATTTCTCAGTCTCTTGTAGTCTTAAATCCCTTTCAAATCATCATTACAATAAAGTGGTTTTCTCTATCTTCCTCAAAACAGAGAATTCTCATTTTGTAATCGCAATAACCACTGTAGTTTTTCACATTTATTAATATAATATCATCGAGACTTCAAAGCTTTCTCTATCCCTTCGTTTATCTTTCAAACCATCCATAGAAGATAAATAACACGTCCAATTTTCAGGTGTAGAAACTAAGGCACAATATGGTTATCAAATTCTTTTTCCTAATATTTATAAACTAAGTGATACGACTGATAAAAGAAACATGTAAACCAAGAGGGAAAAGGACCCTATCGTCTTCAAGTCCAATCCTCTTCTCTAAGATATTGATCTAAATCATACACAAAATTTCATTACAATGATCAATGCCATTTTCTTACCAACCTCTAAAAATGGAAGTGCTCATTTTTAAATTGCTTCTCTAGAGGAGGAAAAATTTTCCTCTCCCTGTCTAGGTACTTTTGGCTGATGTAATAATTAACATAAGGCAGATTAATAGGAAAACCAAAACAAATTTTAATTATGTAGATACAGGAGGCTCACAGAGGCGGTGAGGCCCAAAGACAGGCAGGCCATTGAGGCTTTGATGGCATCCTAAACTAAGCTTATGGCCTAGGGCTTCTAAGGGAAGGAAGTCAGGTCACAGAAAGGGGGAAGAGCGAATGTTTGCCATGCCACCAGGGACAATGGGGCACAGAGAGAAAGTCAAACAGTCCCTCTGAGGTCCCCACA